CAACCTCCAGTCTCCTACTCAAACAATACAAAAAAATTACAGCCGGCTGTTGGCAGGTGCCGCTGTAGTCTCCAGCTACTCGGGAGCTGATGAGCAGAGAATCGACTCGAACCCAGAGGCAGAATTGTCAGTGAGACGAGATCGCACTCACTGCACCCAGGCTGTGTGACAGAGCCGAAACTCCATTTCACACACCACACACACACCTTCTTTCCAGAGTCTGGAGTGCAATGACGAGTCAGGCTGGAGTGCAATGATGTGATCTTGGCTCACTGCAACCTCTGCCTTCTGGGTTCAAGGGATCTTCCTGCCCCAGCCTCCCAAGTAGTTGGAAACTACAGGTGCATGCCAACATGCCCAGCCAATGTTTATATTTTTAGTAGAGACAGGGTTTTTTCATGTTGGCCGGGCTGGTCTCGAACTCCTGGCCTCAAGCAATCTGCCTGCCTCAGCCTCCCATAGGGCTGAGATTACAGGCATGAGCCACGGTGTCTGGCCTTCGCATCTATTAATGATGTAACGTATTTTTCCTAAAGTAATCATATGTTGATAGAAGCTTTTTTAAAACAAATGTACCTATTCTACATGATAGCCCTTCAAGATGTATGATGACTAATACGTTTATCATCATTTTTCTCTTCTTATAAAATATTTTTAGATTCTTAAATAATTCTCTTTCAATCACGAATTGAGAGGCTCACCACACTTTCTGTTTTTCTCAGAATGAGTTTCAGTGGATCTGTTCTTAATGTGTAGTATTACAGTTTAATAGTGTTTTAGGCTGAATATTTTTAAATGATTCTAGGAATTAAAACTTCCATGTTCTCTGCTGCATGCTATAAATGTATCACACATACCTTAAATTGAATTAAGAAAGTTGTCCTGTATTTAATTCTACATAATATGATATTGTCCTTGAGTTTTGAGAAAGAAGAGAAAATCTTTATGGATAATTTTGTCTGTCTAAAAAACTGTATCACACATAGAAGAGAACAATTCTGATAATTTAGATGATTTTGTAAGAATTTCAAACCTAAACCTTCCTTTTCTTCTAATAGCATATATTAAGTACTGAATATAAGATGCCAAATTTACTAGAGGTAAAAATCAAATCAGGTTTCAAAATGGAAAAAAAAACAAACAAAACAAAACAAAACAAAAAAACGAAAAACAGATTGTACTTGATTTGGGGAAAATTGCACAGACTACATGAAAGGAATATGGGCTGTGTAATCCTCATGAAGCAATGATTAATTAAACTCCGATTCCGTTTCAAAGCTTGGCCTCCACATTTTAGAACTAAGTACATAGTGTACTGTCCAGGACTATTTCTAACCCTATATATTTTTTCAGACCCACCTTTGATAGTTTTTGTTTTTTCCATGAGGAAGAAGCAACAATAGACAACAATAAAATTTTCAAGGCTGAGGTAGCCTTGATTCAGAAACTGACAAAAAAATGCCTTCCATTCATAGAATCTTGCTTTGCAATAATCTGTCATCTAATGTATAATGAGGTGTTTTTGTGGCTGAAAAATAACAGACTTTTGAACAGAGAGGGACTATAATCTGGTTTGGTTTTCCAGTTACCGGTCACCATATTTCATTACCACAGTTCCAGCAGGAATAGAGTAGCTAGTCTTTTACTCTATATAGCAACTAAAAAATGAGGACTTCTCAAGAAAAAGCAACACTGAAAAGGAAAAATAATTATGCTCACTACAGAACGATAATCAATTATAAGATATATGGTAAAAGCAAAACATTTAGTTTTTATAGAATAAAAATTTTAAAATAATTATAAATAGGCATAAAGGTTGTATGTATTTATACATGTGCATATGTATATCTGGGTTTTATTTGACTATAGTATGTAATGATCCATTTGGCATTTAATGAAGAAGATGACTTATTTTTGTAATATAATTTGTTGTAATATAAGTGCCTCTTATCACCTATTTAAAAATAATGTCACTACTTCTACTGTTTCCATATTTGACTTTTGATTTTTGAAGATATCCCTAATGCATTATCTCTTCAGCTTTTTCATACCACTTTTGCGTCATTGCAAATGTCAGGTCTCTAATCTCTCATCTCTGCCAGTTCAATGACCAATTTCTGATCTTGCTTTCATCCTTAGGGTCCACTACTTGTTAATTACTCTGTTTATACACTTTTAAAATCAGTTAGAATCTTTCTTTTTCTACAACATGGTTGCAGAAAGATGGTTGAGGCTCACAACCTCAACTGTCAATCAAAATTTTTATCTCCTATATCAGTCCCTACAACTTGAACACTCAACATAACCTGAGAGAAATTTCAAAAATATGCAGATTTATGCCACTATAAATTCCTAGTACCCGATGTTTATATGACCTTAACGCTTCTCCAGTTTTTTTTAAAAAGTAACAATTATTTATTGGCACTGTATCCTAGATCAATTATGTTGATTTTAAAAACTTTTTAAAGTTTATTTAAATATGTCTTGTCATTTCAACATGACTGTTTTTGCATCATATAACACATTGGCACTGTAAGACATAACATACCTCAATTACTCCCCACACAACCTACACAGATCACAAATAATATTTATTTACTATATTTTAGATGGAACTCTTTGTCTGAATGTCCAAATATTTCAAAGAGTTAGATACCAAACTGACTGTGTTTGAAACTTCATTAGTTAGATTCTACGCAAACCTGCTACTATTCCTACCTTCTATTTTGGTGAATAGCATCCAAGAATCTGTCCACTTCCCAGTCCTAAAATATTGGAATCCTCCTACCCTCCACTGTGTCATTTCTCATATTTAGTTAATCACAAAATACTCTCTAGTACTCATCAT